GGCCGCCCCGCCGCCCGGCACTCACTAGGGCGCAGCCGAGGAAGGGACGCCCGTATCTACCCCGCGCCCCAGCGCAGGTGAGAAAGGACCCTCCTGCCCAGGCCCCAGGACTTGGAATCCTGGGTGGGTCCACCGGCCACTGCAGCGGGGCTGGCGGCAGGGAGAGGTGTCCAGGCCACAGGGACCAGGGGCCCGGCTGCGCCTCGAGTCCCTTCTGTCCGCGGCCACGGAGACCTGACCTCGCACCTAGTGTGGGATGGTCGAACAGCCTCTCCAGGCAGCTCTCTGGACCCCAACACTTGCCTTAATTTGCACCCAGACCAACTCCTACCAACCACCCCCGCACGGCTGCCTCCACCCACAAGGTAGCAGAGGGCCTGGGCCTGCAGCGCTGGGAGGAGCTCCAGGGGGTGTGGGTCCCCATGCCTCCAGAATGACGGAGCACACGTCCCCCACACCCCAGCACACTGCTGGGCAACCAACCGCGGCTCATCCCCACAGAGTGAAAGTCCACCTTAAATTACTGACATTTGGTGAAAAGCAAGGTTTTGGGCAGGATGAAGTTAATGCCCCTAATTTTTTAAATTTATTATTGTTTTGAGGTCTCCCTCCAGCAAATAAAGCTTTTCTCCAGGTCATGGGAAGGAGGGGCTCAGCAGTCTTATCTATGCCACTCAACTCCCATTCTGGGTGCTGGGCTGCTGGCTGCAGCTGGTGGGACAAAGCCTGGCCTGGGACAGACGTGTGCGGAAGTGCTTCCTGGGACCCAGGCTGGCCAGCTCAGACTGGCTCTGCCGGCCCCTTCTCCAGGCAGCCCTGTCAGGTCACCCACCCAAGACAGGCTGGGGAGTCTGGGTTTCACCGCTGCCCCCAGTCCGGGTGAAGGGCAGCTCTGACAGCCCTGGGTGGAGGCAGAGGCTGGACCAGAGTGGCTGAGGGGATGTGGGTGCCCTGGTTTCTAAGGTTAAGGCTCCAGGCAGGGCTAGAGAACCGCCGCCTGTTATTTGCCCAGGGCCAGCTGTTGCAGGCACTGAGGCCTCAGGGCTTCAGGAAGGCATGGGGGGAGGGGAGAGCCACGCTGCCTACCAGGTGCTGCCTGCCCCCACCCTGCTGCTTGCAGGAGGTGGGAAGGGAGATGTCTACACTTGTGACGTCAGCATCAGCCCCAATTTCAGACCCTATGGTCATTCAGTTGCTGATGAGGAAACTGAGGCACGCTGACCCTCCCAGGCCTCTATCTGCCAGTCCAAGGCTAAGCCTCCTCCCTCCTCTCCAGAATGGGAGGCAGGCAGCCTTTTGCTGGGGGAGGGTCTCAGGAGCCCATCTGGTGGCCTGTGGGGGGGAAGGCCAGCCAGGGTCAAGGGCTGGGGATGGGGGGAGCAGGAGGAGGGGTGTGGTTG